ATAAAATTATAAAAACTTTTTAATTATTAATAATTATATAATAACACCACTTTCCTAAAATCCTAGATCCTCCAGAACCAGTCGGATCACAAACATCTTATTTGAGTCGTATACTTGGTTTACTTGTGAAATAATGCTAGGGCACACCCTCAACCACACTTCCAACCACACCCCCACACTCTCTATAGTGCTAGTGGGCCATGCATGATATTTTTCTAAAAATATCATACATGGCCCACTAGCACTATAGAGAGTGTGGGGGTGTGGTTGAGAGTGTGGTTGAGGGTGTGCCCCTGGTGGGACTCTTACTTGTGTAGTGTTCATTTGGATTTATGCATCTTTTCATGCTTTATTATGTTGACTAATAAATCCAGAGCAAGGAGAGGCTCTGGCACACACACATGGAGCCAGTTGAGGGATTTGTTGGCTTTGGTGAAACTTGTACGATATGCACTCAAATGAAAAAGGAAAAAAATAATAATAATTGAAAAGGAAGTTTTAACCTATTTGATTCTAAGATCTTTTTGTACTCTTCGCATTCATGTAGAAGAGTAAAATAAAACCAGGGAAAGTACAAAAACTATTTTAAATCTTTTCGAAATCAATAATTAAAAAATATACGTCGTGTAACTATCAGTAACAGTACTCGTGTAGTTTTCATTTTATGTGATAATCCCTATTCATCATCCAAAGATAAAGGGGGTTTACTGATAATTGTCCAAAAGGAAGGGGGTTCTTCTGATATTTACCCTCAAACATACTTTCAGCATCCAGATATCAATATCATATGTCCACACCACGATGTTTCTCTCTTTCTTCCCCTTTTTTTTCACTTTTTTTTTCTCTTTTTTTTTGTTGGGCTGATTTCATGGGTCAATAGCTTGCTATTCCCCGGCCTACATACTCATGTAATAGGTTGTGTCAGCAGGTACGGTACTTTTAAAAACCTTTTTTTATGCAGCGACTTCAAAAAACTTCGGCCCACAGTAGTGGCCCAGGTGCTGCTGGGCCTTATTAAGTCCAAGATGTACCCACGAAAATATGGAGGCTACACAGGTTCAATAGCAATGACTTATACTTTGACTAAATTATTGATCAATGAGTTGTGCTAACCATAACTATATAGTTTGGTACGTCCAAATCGCATGAGTTAAAAAAGAAATACGATGCTGTACAATTTTTTTAACAGAAAATTCGGATGGATAAAGATTTAATTAAACACATGCATAGAACCAGAGTTGCAAAAGTTTAGCCATACATAACAAATTTTCTCTCCTATACATTCCCTTTGATTTATGAGCATTTTGACAACTCACGTTAGTTTCAAATTTTTATGACTAAGCCGGAGAAAACATCTTAGGAAATAAAACAAATATATATATATATACATAAAGGGCGAGCACGAGAAGTTAATTAAAAAGATTTAAACACATGCATAGTTATTCATAGTATCAATTTCCAATAGAGCTTTGCTACAGGGACAAGTGAGGTATCCCCCTCCTATTGGATAATGAGTTGGCCATTATTAATAATGGCCAACTCATTATCTGACTATCATTAATGATGACAAACTTATTATCCAATAGGATAGAGACACATCACTTGTCCCTCCTATTGGTCCCATATTTTGGTTCCCTGATAAATTTTTCTTTCCAATAACTTGAGATAGAAATTTAAAAAAAATAATAATTAATAAGTTCAAGGGAGTAATATCGGAGGAAACAGTGAAAAAGACATAAGAGGAAAAACATTATAACCAATGCTTTATTTCTTGACGCAACGTATCAAGAATAACCTCAACCCGTTACAAATTCAACTCCCGCACAAATTAAACATATGGCCAAAAAATTACCAAATTCTTTCTTAACGTTAAAGCTTCTTCTTTTCTTTTCTTTCTCTCTCCAATTTCAATCCCAGATGAAAGCTCCGATAGCGTAGCTCCGCTTCTCGTGGACGCCACCGGCGACGGTCAGCCCGTAGCTCCTGAGGAGGCAGTCCAGCTCCCACTCCGGCATCGCCTCGTACTGCGCGCGCGTGTACCGCGGGTAGTGCAGCGGCATCTGGAAGCGGCCGCCCCCGCATCCCTCCTTCCCAAATTGCCCCTGCTCCCCCTTCTTCGCCTCCGCCACCCTCCTCGGAGCCGTTGAACCCATATTTTTTTATTTGGGATTTTAATATCGAAACTCTTCTCTCTCTAGATTTTTTTTTTGTTTCTCTTCTCTCTCGTCGCTGTGGGGGTTTTATTGAGGGGAGTGAAGGCGGCGTGAAGAGATTACGATTACGAGCAGGAGATGGAATATTTTACCGCGAGGGGCAGCTGGACGGTTGTTCCCGCTTTGCCCCTGCCCGCATTAAATCGATGGTTTGTTGGGAGTTGCAGAATATTCTTGAACTTGTTTTCGTTCTTTATATTTTTATTTCTATTGATTTTTTAATTTACGAATTTATTTTAATTAAGGGCACGTGCATGATGGCAGATTTAGAATCAGGGGCTGTTTGGTTGTATGTTTTTACCATGTAAAAGGATGTAAAGTGTAAAAAAGTGGGTCCCAATGTCAGCTTTCATTACTTTTAATTGTTTGTTTGTAGTTGTGAAAATAGTGTAAAGTGATTTCATATGCTGATGTGGCTTGTAAAGTGATTTCATAAAAAAAAGACATGATTTTAGGAGAAAACTAACATTAAAGTTAGAAAAAAATAATAATAAATAATTCCAACCAATATGATCATTTGA